CAAAAACTGAGACATCGAAAAATCACAAGTCGAGAAGTCGAGAAATCGCAAAATTGAGAAACTCAAACAGGCCAAAACGAAAAATCGAAAAGTTAAAACTGGAAAAATTGATAAATCGAGTGACTGACCAATCACAACATCGAAACATCGGAATTCGCTAAATCGAGATCTCAAAAAATTGAAAAATCTAAAATTAAAAAATTTGGAACATTGAAAAATTAAAATATCGAAAAGTTGAAAAATTGTGAAATCGAAATATAAAACAGTCGAAAAATGGAAAAATCCAAAGTTTAAAAACGAAAAACTGAAAATTAAAAAAATAAAAAGTCTAAAAATTGAAAAATCGAGGAAATAAAATATTGAAAAATCCCAAAACTGTAAGAAATGTACAAAAATTGAGAAATAAAAAAATTGGGAAATTGAGAAATCGAAAAACCAAAAAAACGAAGTCGAAAATTGGAAGAATTGAAGAACTGAAAAACGAATAGATTAATTGACAAATCGGAAAACTGAAAATTCAACAACGTCAAAATTTGAAACATTGAAAATTAGAAATACTGAAAAATCAAAAAATCGAAAAATCGAGAACTCGAAACTCCAGAATTTAAAAAATTGCAACATTGAAAAATCGGATAACTGAAAAATTGAAGCATCGAAAAATTGAAAAGTCGGAAAAGTAAAAAATCGAAATGTTGAAAAATTGAGAAATCGAAGTATAAAACAGTCGAAAAATTGTAAAATTTCAAGTTTAAAAACGAAAGAAATCTAAAAATCCAGAACTCGAATGATCGAAAAGTCGAGATATTAAAAAATCCCAAAACTCAAATATCGAAAAAATTAAGACATTGAAAAATTGGGAAACCGAAAACTCAAAAAAGCAAAGTCGAAAAATGACAAACTTAAAAAATTGAAAAATCAAAAACCTGAAAAACAGAAAAATTGAAAAACTGAAAAACTGAAAGATCGAAACTTTGGGAAGTCGAGAAATATGAAAATCAAAAAATATTCAAGAACTAAAAATCAAAACATTTAAGGAAAAACTGAGAAATCAACAAGTCGATAAATCGAAACATCAAAATTAAAAAAATTGGAAAATTGGAAAATCGGATAATTCAAAAATCGAAAAGCCGAAAAGTAAAAAATCGAAAAATCGACAAATCAAAAAGTCGAAATATCGAAAAATTCAAAAAATGAGACATCGAAAAATCAGACGTCGAGAAGTCAAGAAATCGAAAAATTGAGAAACTCAAACAGGCCAAAACGAAAAATCGAAAAGTTAAAACTGGAAAAATTGGTAAATTGAGTGATTGACCAATCAAAATATCGAAACAACGGAATTCGCTAAATCGAGATCTCAAAAAATTGAAAAATTGAAAAAGCCAAGAAAACGAAGTCGAAAATTTGTAAGAATTGAAGCACTGAAAAATCGAATAGATTAATTGACAAATCGGAAAACTGAAAATTCAGCAACGTCAAAATTTGAAAAATTGAAAAATAAAAATACTGAAGAATCGAAAAATCGAAAAATCGAAAAATCGAAAAATCTAAATCCATAGATCAAAAATCACAAAATAAAAATTCAAAAATCTGAAATTTAAAAATTAGAAAACCGAAAAATCAACAAATCGAGAAATCGAAACTACAGAATTTAAAAAATTGCAACATTGAAAAATCGGATAACTGAAAAATTGAAGCATCGAAAAATTGGAAAATCGAAAAATTGAAGAGTCGGAAAAGTAAAAAATCAAAATGTTGAAATATTGAGAAATCGAAGTATAAAACAGTCGAAAAATTGTAAAATTTCAAGTTTTCAAGAAAAATTGAACATCCAAAAAGTAAAAAGTCGATAAATCGAAAAGTCCAGAACTTGAAAAATCGAAAAAAGGGAAATTAAGAAACTGAAAAATTGGGAAATCGAAAAGTCAAAAAAGCAAAGTTGAACAATGACAAACTTAAAAAATTGAAAAATCAAAAACCTGAAAAATAGAAAAATTGAAAAACTGAAAGACTGAATGATCGAAACTTTGGGAAGTTGAGAAATTTGAGAATCAAAAGATATTGAAAAACTAAAAATCAAAAAATCAAAAATTTAAAACATTGAAAAATTAAAATATTGCAAAATGTAGAAATCCAAACATCAAAAACTCAAAAAAATTAGAATTCGAAAATCTAAATTTAAAAAAGGAAAATGTGAGAAATCAACAAATCGAGAAATCGAAACATCAAAATTAAAAAAATTGGAAAATTGAAAAATCGGATAATTCAAAAATCGAAACATCGAAAAGCCCAAAAGTTAAAAATCGAAAAACCGACAAATCGAAACATCGAAAAATTCATAAACTGAAATAGGCCAAAATCGAAAAATCGAAAACTTGAAAAAATGAAAAAACGCATAAATCGAGAGATTGAACAGTCAAATCAAAACATCAAAAAAAATTGAAAAATCGAAAATTTAAAAATTTGGAAAATTAAAAAATTACTTAAAATATCGAAAAATTGAAAAATCCAAGAAACAAAGTATTGAAAAATTCCAAAACTAAAAGAAATATCCAAAAATTGGGAAATTGAGAAATCGAAAAACCAAAAAAGCAAAGTCGAAAATTCGAGGAATTGAAGAACTGAAAAATCGAATAGAATAATTGACAAATCGGAAAACTGACAATTTAGCAACGTCAAAATTTGAAAAATTGAAAAATAGAAATACTGAAGAACTGAAAAGTCAAAAAAATAGGCAAATCGAAAAATCTGAAATTTAAAAAATAAAAAATCTAAAAATCGAAACATCGAAAAATTCATAAACTGAGACATCGAGAAATCGAAAAATTGAAAAATCGAAAAATCTTAAAAAAAATCGAAAATTAAAAAATTCGGAAAATTTGAAAAATTGAGATACAGGAGAATTGAAAACTCGAAAAATCGAAAAACCTAGAATTTTAAAAATTGAAAAATTAAAACACGGAAAAGTCGAAAAATTAAAAATCTAAAGTTTAACGAAAAATTGAAAATCCGAAAAGCAGAAAATCGAAAACTCAAAAAATTTCAAAACTTAAAGAGATATCCAAAACATTGAGAAATTAAAAAATTGAGAAATGGAAAAACTAAAAACGCAAAGCCGAAAAATCGTAGTTTCAAAAATCGAAAAATTGAAAAATTGAAAAATTGATGAATTGAAAAACCGAAACTTTGGGAAATTTATTTTATCTTCAGTTGGAGTAGAAAACGTATTATTAGTACCTTGACACCTGATTTTTTTTTAACTTGCAATATTGACGTAGAAATTTTGCCAAAAGTTGTCTTTTTTGGATTCCAAGAGTACCAAAGACAACAAAAGTTACTTGAGATTGCAAGCAATAATTTCGAAAATTTTACTGTAAATGTTTCAGAACTTTGTTAAATTACATCACTGCCCGAATAAATGCTCAAGTTAAGATTATTGAATATAAGCAGCTATACAAAGAAAATTAAACAGACGAGATGATTTGTGATTTAAACTCGTGTATCCAATTTGTACAACTCTCACAAATAAAACAAATTGCGTTCCAAAAAAAAAAGAAAATGTTTTCACTTTCAGTAATTTTATTCAGCCGGTGAAAGCTTTTAAGATGTAAATTTCTATTTAAGTATGTTTTTGCTTAACAATGCAGCCAAGAGGATTTTATCCAGCGGATTTCTTGCTAATCTCAGGAAATCCAAGCTTACTGCTACGATGGTTAGTTTCCATAAGTTTAAACACTTCTTAATTTGTGAAAATTATTTTCTGACAATTTTCTTGTTTCATTAAAAAAAAATCGGAACAATAATGATAATGAAATTACACTTACTTAAGTCGACAGTAAAGTTTTAAACTCAAACTCCACCAAGAACCGTAAACAAAAAGCACGTTCCACCTATTTTTTAAGTTTGCGACGTTGTTACCGAACTTTTATTTTAACTTTGAAGATTCCACTTTTCACGAGTTTTATTATTAGTTTTTACTAAAACCAGCAAAGTCGAAGTTAAAGAAATGTTATATCTCCTGGAGCACTGCTTTGTTTTCATGGCTTTAATGAATTTTTAATTTTAGTTTTTCAAGTTTTTCAAGGAGATTATTAATTTTTAAAGCCCCGACTTCCGATTTTACACTAATTTTTTGAAGCTGTAGTGGAGTTTTCAGGTCGAAATTCATGCAAATTTTTCAGGGAACATTCCGATTTAATTTAAATTTAAATGAAGTCCGAGGACGTCGATATTATAAAGTTAAAATTTCGATGCTCTGAAGTCACTTTAAATGTAAAAGTATCGATTTGACTCAAATAATGTGGCTTTTGTTGGTCGTTAAAATACGTAGAATACGGGTAATCAGGTTTCCTAGACGTATTTTGAGCACAGAAATGCGGTTTTGTCTTAATGTAAATTTAATTAAGCAGAACTTATTACAGTGTTAATTCTTTTCGCAAGTGTGAAACATGTCGTTTCGCGGTAATTCGTTAACAAACTACTTCAAGAATACTACGTCAGTCCAATTAATTCTATTATTACTTGTACGTAGAACAAACGGAACTGCGCGATTGTTAACTGGAAGCATTACCGGAATCTGAATTTCTTTGACGTTTTCGCTCTAAACTAGCAAATTTAATCCTAACAAGAGCTCAAACCACCTGCGGCAACGGTTACCTTTGCAGACGCTAAAACAACATCCAGTACTCGCTAGCATAAATTTAATTAAATTTAATACATTTGTTCGAGCAGTTTCTATTATTGTTTTCCGGCTAATACACGTTTAAATGAAGCTCGTAAAATTCGAGCTAAATGCAAATCATGGCGGGATTTGTTCTCCGACCTTTAATATAAATTAATGAAATTATCAAGCGCCATTATTACATGAAAATTAGAGCAACGGCTTTGACTGGCGTTAAAGTAAATTGAAAATTATGCTACCGGATGTGCGACTGTAATCCCTCGTTTCCATTATTAAGCGCGACCGTCTTCAGGAATGACTAGCACCGATATGATTTTTTCAGGCGAATCAACGTCACTTTCGTGACGCGACCGGCTGGAGAATGTTCGGAGGGCAGCGACGTCCCGAGGGAGTACATCATATTTTGTAATCTGGAGAATGAGGAACTTCGAGCCACTTCGATAGCTAAATGGGATGAAAGCACAGATCAGAGGGTCTGGGCAGCTTTAGGTAGGTCTCTATTTGTCTCGCACCAAATCCGAGCTTCATTTTTCCTTACGATCGATCCCCGAAAATTTCCTTCCCGATTTGCCGCAATCGCTGTTCGACGTGTATGTGTTTTAAAATAGCGCAGTTCGGCTCTTAGGGGAGTTTTCGAGTTGCAGGAATGGGAACGGAATGGGAGATTCTATGGGAAATGGGTTGTAGTGATGGATGGGATGCTTTAAGGGAGATTGAAAGTTCGACATGAACGTGTGTGGCGGGAACAAAGTCGGAGGTTTTTTGTTGCTCGCTGACAAGAAATGTTCGAGAGAGAGAGAAGGAAATTCGTCTCTTTTTTAAGCGTTGCCGATTAATACCAGGTTTTTTCATTAATTTTAATAGGTTTCTTGCTTTTTTTATTCTTCAGCTGTCACTTAATAATTTCTGCGTTACAACAACTTAAATTTCGCCCCTATACACTTCCACAATAAGGATCATAGTCGTTCGAAACTGACATTCATCATGTCGTAATTGATTTTGGGTATTCTCTGACAAACTGCATAAATGGTTCCTGCATTTCCCATTTAAACTATTCAATTGGAAATATTTTTTTGTGTCCAACGAAGTGTTTTAGAAACGAACAAAGAAAATTTTTATTGATGAAAACTGGCAGAGACGCAGCCGAGGAAACTTTCCTTTTTATTTTCAGTCGTCGATATTAATTTGCAATATCTAAATAAAAAATAAAGGGTGGTAAATTGTTGATCAAAATGTATTTGCTCATACGAGTCTTTACGAGTTTAATAAGGGAAAAATCAGTTTTATCTTAACAAATACTGGGCTCGCCCACCCACCCCCTCTTTTACCAGAGAATATGTCATTTGCAAAAATCAGTCTTATCTTACCAAGTACTATATGGAAATTTCCACAGTAACGGATTAAATTCCTAAATCTACCCTGAATGTGCAAAATATGATGGGTTTTTACTTGTAATTTATTTTTAATATATAATTAATACTTTTTAAATTTGCTTATACAAACTAAATATTCAATCAGATTTAAGAATTTAGTTCGTTATTATGAAATATGTAATTTAACACCTTTTAAATTTAACAAGTTTTTACAAATTTAATAGGGGCAAAATCAGTTTTATCTTAGCAAGTACTAGCCCCACCCACCCGCCCTCTATTTTTTCAGTAGGCGGGCCTAGTATTTGTTAAGATAAAACTGCTTTGATGTCTATTAATCTTGTAAAATCTTGTGAAATTTAAAGGTATTAAAATTGCAAATTTCTATAGTAACGTTAAAGTCTTAAATCAACACGAAATGTGCAAAATATAATGAGATTTTACTTATCATTGAATTCATATTTTTTAAATTTGCATAAACAGGGTAACTCAAAAAAATTAATGAACACGTGAATTTATTTTATTGATTGAGGAACTGCTAAACCGAATCGTTTGAAATCTTGGAAATGTTTTAAAGTTATCATAAGCATGGTAAATTTTTGATCAAAATGTATTTGCTCATCCTCCCTATCTTAAATGTGCAAAATCTGATGAGTCTATACTTGTGATTTAGTTTTAACAGATAATTAATATATTTTTTCAATTTGCTTATACAGGGTAGCTCAGAAAAATTAATGACAGAGTTAAAAAATATATATCCAATCAAATTAGGAATTTAACTGGTTACTATGGAAATATGCAATTTAACACCTTTTAAATTTAAGTTTGATAGGGGCAAAGTCACTGTTATATCAGCAAGTGCTAGCCCCGCCCACCCGCCCCCTATTTTCTCAGAATTTATGTCATCTGCCAAAATAAGTTTTACCTTTGCAAGTACTAGCCCCGCCCACCCGCCCTCTATTTTCTCAGGGGATATGTGGTCTGCCAAAATCAGTCTTATCTTATCAAGAACTAGCCCCGCCCACCCGCCCCCTGTTTTTTTGAGGATATATCATCTGCCAAAATAAGACTTATTCTAGCAAGTACTGGCAAGTACTATCCTCTGAGAAAATAAAAAACTAGCACTTGCCAACATAAGTCTTATTTTGGCAGATGACATATCCTCTGAAAAACGGGGGCTGGGTGGGCGGGGCTACTACTTGGTAAGATAAGACTAATTTTGGAAAATCACATATCTTCTGAGAAAATAGGGGCTGGGTGGGCGGGGCTAGTACTCGGTAAGATAAGACTGATTTTGGCAAATGACATATTCTCTGGTAAAAGAGGGGGTGGGTGGGCGGGCCCAGTATTTGTTAAGATAAAACTGATTTTTCCCTTATTAATCTTGTAAAAACTTATGAAATTTGAAGATATTAAATTGCAAATTTCCACAGTAACGGGTTAAATTCCTAAATCTACCCTGAATGTGCAAAATATGATGGGTTTTTGCTTGTAATTTATTTTTAATATATAATTAATACTTTTTAAATTTGCTTATACATGGTGTCTCAGAAAAATTATTGACTGAGTTGTTTAAAACTAAATATTCAATCAGATTTAAGAATTTAGTTCGTTATTATGAAATATGTAATTTAACACCTTTTAAATTTAACAAGTTTTTACAAATTTAATAGGGGCAAAATCAGTTTTATATTAGCAAGTACTAGCCCCACCCACCCGCCCTCTATTTTTTCAGTGGGCGGGCCTAGTATTTGTTAAGATAAAACTGCTTTGATGTCTATTAATCTTGTAAAAACTTGTGAAATTTAAAGGTATTAAAATTGCAAATTTCTATAGTAACGTTAAAGTCTTAAATCAACACGAAATGTGCAAAATATAATGAGATTTTACTTATCATTGAATTCATATTTTTTAAATTTGCATAAACAGGGTGACTCAAAAAAATTAATGAACACGTGAATTTATTTTATTGATTGAGGAACTGCTAAACCCAAACGTTTGAAATCTTGGAGATGTTTTAAAGTTATCGTAAGCATGGTAAATTTTTGATCAAAATGTATTTGCTCATCCTCCCTATCTTAAATGTGCAAAATCTGATGAGTCTATACTTGTGATTTAGTTTTAATAGATAATTAATATATTTTTTGAATTTGCTTATACAGGGTAGCTCAGAAAAATTAATGACAGAGTTAAAAAATATATATCCAATCAAATTAGGAATTTAACTGCTTATATGGAAATATGCAATTTAACACCCTTTAAATTTAAGTTTGATAGGGGCGAAGTCACTCTTATATCTGCAAGTGCTAGCCCCGCCCACCCGCCTCCTATTTTCTCAGAATTTATGTCATCTGCCAAAATAAGTTTTACCTTTGCAAGTACTAGCCCCGCCCACCCGCCCTCTATTTTCTCAGGAGATATGTGGTCTGCCAAAATCAGTCTTATCTTACCAAGAACTAGCCCCGCCCACCCGCCCCCTGTTTTTTTGAGGATATATCATCTGCCAAAATAAGACTAATTTTAGCAAGTACTGGCAAGTACTATCCTCTGAGAAAATAAAAAACTAGCACTTGCCAACATAAGTCTTATTTTGGCAGATGACATATCCTCTGAAAAACGGGGGGTGGGTGGGCGGGGCTAATACATGATAAGATAAGACTGACTTTGGCAAATCACATACCTTCTGAGAAAATATGGGGTGGGTGGGCGGGGCTAATACATGATAAGATAAGACTGACTTTGGCAAATCACATACCTTCTGAGAAAATATGGGGTGGGTGGGCGGGGCTAGTCCTTGGTAAGATAAGACAGATTTTGGCAAATGACATACCCTCTAAGAAAGTGAAGGGTTTGTGGGCAGGGCTAGTACTGCAAAATCTGCAAAATCTGATGAGTCTATACTTGTGATTTATTTTTAATAGATAATTAATATATTTTTTGAATTTGCTTATAAGGGTGGCTCAGAAAAATTAATGAGTTAAAAAATATATATCCAATCAGATTTAGGAATTTAACTGGTTACTATGGAAAGATGCAATTTAACACCTTTTAAATTTAAGTTTGATACGGGCAAAATCACTCTTATCTTAGCAAGTGCTAGCCCCGCCCACCCGCCCTCTGTTTTCTCAGGGGATATGTGGTCTGCCAAAATCAGTCTTATCTTATCAAGTACTATCCCCGCCCACCCACCCCCTATTTTCTCAGAGGATGTAATTTACCAAAATAAGACTTATCTTGGTAAATACTAGCAAGTAATACCCTTTGAAAAAATAAAGGTCCGGTGGGCGGAGCTAGTACTTGCTTACTTAAATCTTATTTTGGCAGATGATATATCCTCTGAGAAAATAGGGGGCGGGTGGGCGGGGCTAGCACTTGGCAAGGTAAGACTGATTTTGGCAAATTACATATCCTCTGGGAAGAGAGGGGGCGGGTGGGCGGGCCTAGTATTTGTTAAGATAAAACTGATTTTGCCCCTATTAATCTTGTAAATACTCCATAGTAACAAGTTAAATTCCCAAATCTACCCGAAATGTGCAAAATATGATAGGTTTTGACTTGTAATTTATCATTGCATTCATACTTTTTAGATTTGCTTAAACAAGTGGCTCAAAGAAATGAATGAATGTGTCAGTTTATTTTATTGATTAATCCCAAGTTTCCTAGTGTTGATGTTTGGTTTTTGAAGAAGACCAAAAAATCTATAAGACCACTGGCGTTTTACTTTTTGGAAAAATTTGAAAGGAAGTCCCTTTTATATCTTATTTTAAGAAATTTAAAAAATATAGCGTCCCGGGGGTTCTTCTTTGAAAAAGCTAGTACTTCCTAAGATAAGACTTATTTCGGCAAATGACATATCCCCTGGGAATAGGGGGCGGGTGGGCGGGCCTAGTGTTTGTTAAGATAAAACTGCTTTGACGCCTATTAATTTTGTAAAAACTTGTGAAATTTAAAGGTGTTCAAATTGCAAATTTCTATAGTAACGTGTTAAATTCTTAAATCTACCCGAAATGTGCAAAATATAATGAGTTTTTACTTATCATTGCATTAATATTTTTTAAATTTACTTAAACAGGGTGACTCAAAAAAATTAATGAACACGTGAATTTATTTTATTGATTT